CCTATTCGGGATCCTATTATTATTTAAGTCCCATTGAAACATGTTAAAACCTATTGAGACTAATTAGGTATTGGAACCAATTGAAAATTCATTGGTGTTCTAATAGATCTAGATATAGATCTAGATCTAGATCTATAGTGGTTTCAATTGGAATTTCGTCTTGGGCTGGCTCTCATCAACATCATCTGCACGATGTTTGGTACGGTATGCATATCAGTGATATTATCACGGAGTGTAAAGACACTCACCGTCATTTCTGTCAGCTTCATGGAGGCCCGCATGGAGGACAAAATCTCCTGGCGTCATATTCCTTAAATTCTCAATACCTCTGTTAGCAAAATACAGCATGGTGTCAAGGAAACATTATTCTTTTGGAGACCATCGGCAGAGAATGAATCTAGATCTACCTCTAAGTTCTAACAGTTAGACAGGCTTTGCAGAATCATCGTCATGTCATCCTTCGGAATGACAGGGTGGTGTTTCAGAGCAGCTTTAACTGTTGCTTTTTTCACAACAGTCAACAGCTTTGAATGTTTTCCCACTTCTCGAAAACGAATCCTCTTTGGTAATGGTAACATTTCTTGACGCCGAGAAATGTCTTTGAAGGCTAAATCGCAAAGCCTTCATCGTTTTCTTGCTGTAGGTCTAGGCCTAGATGATCTAGGCCTAGGCCTACTCCGTTTTGATTCCGAGCTAGCGTAGAACTGCAAGAGAAGGGGGACTAGGAGTAGGAAGGTCTAGGGCTTCGTTATTCACAAGATCATCATCAATTAAATCCCGAAACACAGAAAGCCCGTACTGATCTGTTTCTTCCTGTTTTTGCTGTCACTTTAGATTTCAACAATTCGTCCACATCTAACAGGAGAAAATGGGGATAGTCGGCAGCCATTTCACCACGGTTACTACTGCCTGAACTTGGGGAGCAGCCATTTTGTCGAACTATGTTTTTTCAGCTGCCTTTCTCAATGCGCGATAGCGCGCACGCCGTGCCGGAACTCTTCCGATGGCTATGCATACCGTACCGGCTGAAGAAATTTAAGGCAGGCGGGGGATTTAATAGCTTGCGCGCGTTCGTTGCACATCAAAAAATTGAAGAAATTTAGATATCGAACGCAGAAATATCAGTGATCGGTGGAAAAAGAGGATTCCGGAATATCCCTTATTCGTGCTCTATATATCATGAGGGATATAATTTAAAAAGATACATAAAAGGTTTACCCGTTGGTCCCTATATAGCTCATGCCTCATGGTCCCCTTTTTCTTATAGTAATTAAGAGCTGATTTGAAGAGATAACCACCTGTAACTGACCAGGGAGGTCTAATCCCTCACTGGCCAAACTAGTGCAGATCTTCGATGTACCACATACATGTTAAACATTACGAACAATATGGTCGACAGCTTTTAATACCAACACGTATCGTAATCGGATAGGACGTGGGGAAGAGTGAAAATACCTATTTTCGGGCAATCGCCACTTCATATTTGGTCATTCAGTGCAATTTGTTGTTATTTTTATAAACAAATTTGCAAATCGATAAAAACTTAAAGGAAACCAAAACCTTCATACTAAGTTACTTTTATTGTAAAGTTTAAAAGATTTGAATAAAATCAGTGAAAATTTGAACAAAATCGGGCAAGGAATAAGGAAGTAAGAGTGTGTGTGTGTGTGTGTAATTGGGTTTTTACAGACGTGTATCAATCAGATATGATTATTTACGTCTGGGACCGACCTTTAACGTCACCATCCGACAGACGTGACTCAGTTTTGAACCTGCGTCCTCGGCTGAATCAGTTTGTAACTTCCACTGTTGGCTGGATTACAGGCGCACGCCACAACGCCTAAGAGCTTTTTGAAATGACTAGTCACTAGAGGGCGGTATTCAATTTGATGACATCATCTGTGAACAACTCTCCATGCCTTTTGTACATTAAATTTCACAATTTTTTTGTTTTCTTCGTATTTATTTGTGTTCTTGATCCGACTTCATAACATGTGAAGTAGAATATCATTTTGCATTCTATATCTTGCTATCGGGGGAGTACATTATCTCAATCACAAGAAAGAAGGAAAAACATGAAATTTGATGTACAAAAGGCATGGAGAGTTGTCCACAGATGATGTCATCAAATTGAATACCGCCCTCTAGTGACTAGTAATTTCAAAAAGCTCTTAGGCGTTGTGGCGTGCGCCTGTAATCCAGCTATAAGTGGAAGTTACAAATTGATTCAGCCGAGGACGCAGGTTCGAAGCTGAATCACGTCTTTCGGATGGTGACGTTTAAAGGTCGGTCCCAGGACGTAAATAATCATATCTGATTGATACACGTCTGTTAAAACCCAATACACACACACACACACACACTCTTACTTCCTTATTCCTTGCCCGATTTTGTTCAAATTTTCACTGATATTTTTCAAATATCTTAAACTTTACAATAAAAGTAACTTAGTATGAAGGTTTTGGTTTCCTTTAATTAATTGGTCCCTGTTAGTAGGCCTAATATTAAGATGATTCAAATTTGTGCTCGTTTAAAAATTCGCTGTGAAATTAGGAAAATGGAAAGACCCAGTTGCGATATGGGCGCTTTTGACAGATTTATCTTCTTTAGTATTTTACATTTCCAAAATATCATTAATAACGAAAAAAGCTTCGAGACTGCGTGCCAGTGTTTTATTTTGTTTTAAAATTGAGATAATTAAAAAGGCATTAGTCCAATATTGCGTTTGAGAATGTAAAATAATGTCCTCCCTCGAGAGGGAAAAGGTGATGGCGAAATAAAGTCTTGTTTTTATTGATTTTGGTACCTTTGAGTATCACAACTTGCATGGTGATGCCTAGCTAATAATCAATTGTTGACCTTTGACTTTATCAATTTGACAGTTTTGCTCTAGTGTTTGCTTTTGTATCAGTATGTATACTGTTATCTTTTCTTTTTCTGTTTACCGCTCCAACACCTTGCATTTTCGGCATTTGTAACCAATAAGCAATGTTAATTGCTTCTGCATATCAATATTTTTGTTGTTTATTTTGGTTAAAAATATATTATTTTTTTAGTCAGGCGCGGATCTACGGGGGGGGGGGGTTAGGGGGTTTAACCCCCCCCCCCCTTGGGCGGCCCTTCCCCCCCCCCCCCCCCCAAAAAAAAAAAAAAAAAAAAACGCACGCTGGAGAGAAACCTTTTCAAGTGCAAATATTGTGAGAAGATATTCAACTCATCTGGTAACTTAACCAAACACATGATAACTCTGGATATAACTGTGTATTAAACTGTTACTTGATTTAAAAAGATGTTATCATGCACTGATTTTTATGGTCTCCATTGTGTTAATAGATGCCAGGAAAACATCACTTACGGGGTTCAAATAAACACCCCAAAAAAAAATCGGCTCGCCGCTTCGCGGCTCGTGGACGATGCTCTGCATCGTCATTATTGTAGTCAACCCCCCCCCCTTTAAATAGCAAAAAGCTAGATCCGCCCCTGTTAGTTCCAAATCATCGTATGTATTATGATACATTATATTATTTACTTCATGCATTATGTGTCATGTTATGGCAAGAAGAAAAAGGGAGTTTTTCTGCTGTTATAAGCAGGCACGTAGCCACGGGGGGGGGGGGGGGCACGAGAGGGCACGTGCCCCCAAGAATTTCCAAGATCGGTTTAACTTTTTTAGACCCTTTTTTTACCTCGATCGGTGTATGTACCCCCCCCCCCCCCCCCCCCCCCCGTGCGTGTTCCTTTTGAATTTTGCTATATACACTGCATTAATTGTAAATTAAACTACTAATGATAATTTGTTTACTAAAACAAATGAGTGATGTACATCAATGAAGATTAATAAATACAATTATATAAATACAATACATGTTTATTCTTTCCGTAACAAATGTTTACGAAAATTCTGTCTCATTATTATTTCACTGTTTTACGCATAATAATACTAATATGACTTAATGAAGTGAATAAATAATGATAGTGCAATAATAGAGGACAGCAAAATAAATTGTGCAAAGTGTGATTTTGGACAAGAATATTTGTATCTTTGAATAATTGCGTTGTCTCTCGTCGTGTAAGAAAGATAGGACTATAGATTAAGAAAATAGATCGATAATATTATCCAAAAGAAAAAAATGAATGAATGAATAACTTAAAACATGAAAAATCTGAATGAATGAATGAATAAAAGAATGAATAAATAAATGAAGGAAAGATAAAGAACGTAAGTCAGCAGGGAATTGATCCTGGCGACGGGGTATACATCTCCACCGTATTAATAGGAGTCTTTGCATGGGTAATGATCTTTTGGGATAGTGACTAGGACTATCAATGATAGGGCTTCATCTTCAGGTCATAATGGATAAAGTTGACGTGTAGTAAAGGTAGGGTGGATGAATTATTTAAACATATCAATTATTTATGATTTATTTAAGATATGGTGACAAAAAGAGAGGTAAAAAATTTAAGAGATTTCACCTACTTGTGACTCACTCAGCGGAGTCACCCCCTTCCCCCCCCCCCCCCCCCCCCGGCCCCCTTTCTGTCTCTATTTCTCTCTCTCCCTCTCTCTCTCTCTCTCTCTGTCTCTATAGTCTCTCTCTATTTCTCTCTCTTTCCCTCCCGAGACTCACTTTAAAATTTTAAAATACAGATCTCTTTCTCTTTCTATCTCTCTATTTTTGAAATTCTTCTTCTTTTTCTTCTTCTTCTTCTTCTTCTTCTTCTTCTTCTTCTTCTTCTTCTTTTTCTTCTTCTTCTTCTTCTTCTTCTTCTTCTTCTTCCTCCTCCTCCTCCTCCTCCTCCTCCTCCTCCTCTTCTTCTTCTTCTTCTTCTTCTTCTTCTTCTTCTTCTTCTTCTTCTTCTTCTTCTTCTTCTTCTTCTTCTTCTTCTTCTTCTTCTTCTTCTTCTTCTTCTTCTTCTTATTCTTCTTCTTCTTCCCACGGCCTTTTGATCTTTTTTCATGTGCACGTGAGATCGAAGGTTTTTCCAAGCGAATTATCTTACAAGCTACCATACAAGATGTCGTCCTCCATTGCTGTTTTTGTGTTGATTTATGTGGCCATTGTTCACACTTACAGACTGTATATACCCGCCATATCTAAGTTGGTAAGTAATTAAATGATGTAAAGAGAAGGGGGATGGTGTGAATCTATAATCTGTGAAAAATCACCATGTTATTTCACCCTCAAAATGGCAAACACATTGTAGTCTAGATCTATGTAGTCCCATTGGTTGTATTTTGTGTTGGATGGGAATAGGCTAGACATGGCGGATATTACAGTGCAGTACTACTAGATCTAGATCTAAAGTAATTGCAGAATACCCTACCAATGGTGCTAAGGTAGTGACTTCAATGCTAGATGTACAATTATCTGAATAATCTGAAAATTTGAGCGAAAACCGACCATAATTAATGGTACAAATTGGGAAAAACTGATCTGATCGATTCCTTCTCCCAACTAGACACAATTTAATTACATTTTACGAATTACGTGAATAGAAATCTCACAAAGCAATAAAATGGCTCTACATTCCATTCCAGACATTTAAGTGTTGACAGATTTTTATAGCCTGTTTTTATGTCCTTTTTTCACGGAAAAACGGTTGGGAAAATTCAAAAATGGTTGGGAGAATTTAAGGTTAGATTCAGAAGCGCCGCACATCGACGTCCGTTCGAAAACCCGTTGAACTTTGTTAAAAATCTTCATATTGCGTGAATTAATTTCGGATTTGGGGCATCGTAGTTGGATAATCCATACATACAAACATAATTTTAGGCCTACGTGTTTTGCATCCTGATTCAACAGGTTTGTGATATTAACCATCACAATGTTACTAAGTACCTTAAACACGTATGTAACATTAAAAAATAGAGGTACAGAGTTGAGAGCGATGGACCCAAGTGGCAGAAGTCTTGCTAGAATAACCAGAAACTCAAGTAAAACTCATAAACGAAACTGGTAAATTTTATTTGTTTCTTATTTTTTATTAATATTGAGTGGTTAATATGTACAGGGTGTATGATTAAAAAATTAGTACGTTAGCTGCAGCAGGTTTCACAAAATATTGCACGAATGTCACTCGTATTTTGTGTCTGAATTACCTACTTACCTACTTACAGTACAGTGTTGCCTCTTTTACTACACAGCCAGGATAGTGATGCAGCTACAGTGTATGTGTGGTCCCGCACACTTACTTGTATGTACCTTGCGCTTTACCTTGGGAATAGCTAATTGGTCAATTTTAGTCAAGAAACATTGTTTTATAGCTTAATTAATATCTTGACCTTGAGAGGGAGCTATACAACATGAAGCGTTTATTATTTACAATTTAATAACTTTAGACTCGATTTCAACCGTGACAACGATCACTGAATATTGTAGGATCACATATGCTTCCAATATGTTCATTTGAACCAAATTCATGACCCCATACCAAAACTTTGTATTACCTTTTATATAGTAGTGGTTAAATGTCTCGTTTCAAAAATACAAAAGACAAAAATAGTTATGTGCCTATACTAGACTAGTATTGGTCGATGGTCGTTGGTCATTAGCTTCTTTCATTAGTTTAATATTTGTCAGTATCTACGTCGATGGTCATTGGTTGTTGGCTTTTTTAAACAAATATGCCTTACTTTTTGGTCGATAGTGACGGACTCTTTCATTAAAATAGTATTTGGTCGATGGTTGTTGATCGTTAGGTTGTGTGCCCCGATTCTGTGCTAAACAATATATTTTAATACTCGGTAGCATTGAATGCCCTTAAAACCATCGTAGGGTATTCTGCAGATGTTCCGACATAGCATTGCCATTGGCAACCATAAATACCTGATTTTGCAGAAGGCTTCGTTTTTGTTTCTAGTGCCCGGACTTAGGACCCATCTCCTTCTTTTTATGATTATTATTCTCATTAGTAATAAATATTATTATTATTAACATTACCCCAGTAATAAGATTTAATTTCTAATCCGCACATGAAAATGCACACAATCAGCTCCCTGGGTAGTATTCTATCCACGCCATAATACAAGCGCACATATGCCAATCCAACCACATTCACATCTTACCGGTTACCCATTTGAAACCTGGGTGGAGAGTGGCAAATGTAGGTTAATGTCTTACTAAAGGACATTAGTGCCGCAGCAGTTCTCGAACGGTGAATAATTGGTACACTTTGAACCGTGATCCACAATTGGGTGATGTATCCACCAGACCATGACACCTCATAGCTTGAATGATTTGTTTTCTCTCTCTCTCTCTCCTACATGTAGATTTTGAAGAAACTCAAGTTGGTCTCTGCACAAAATGAAGACAAGAGAAAGGCATTACAAGATCTTCTGGATCAGCAATCCGAGATTGACATGAAAGAAGAATTTGCAAAGTACGCCAAGATTGAACGGAAGATCATTAAACTCAAAGAGGAATTGAAATCTTTAAGTAAGTTCAAAAGGTTGAAAATGCAGGCAGTAGTATTTAGGATCTTAGATTTCTAGTTGATGCAGCTTTTGGAAAGCAAATTTAAAAAATGTAAAAATTAGAATCAAGTCTTGTAGTGCATATCATACAGACGCATTTTATATTGAAGAGCTGTGTAAATAAAAATTCCAGAGCTATCTTTGGGTAAATTGAAGTTTCAAAATAAAGTGTGGGCGTCCTATGTGTGAAGAAAAAAAAACCTCTTCAATTCATCAGTAGGTGTGATTGAAGTTAACAGCTAAGTAGAAGTGAGTGATTACCATGCCACACTACAGCAAAGTAATTACTGCTTGTAGGGATTGGCTTGCATGGTGATGTATATATATACAGTAGGCTTGTGGATGCACCATGTGAGAAAGGGAAGGAAGGAGGAGTCCTAAAAAGAAAGATTACAGAGAGTCCTTTTCAGGACTCCTCATCCCTTCCTCTCTCTCACATGGTGCATCCACAAGCCTACTGTATAGCGAAGTAATTGTTTTGAAAATGATGTATCAAGAAATAAATCCTACATGGAAACGCTAGAGAGACACAGGCCTGTGAAAGTTTGAGCAAAAACCAATTAAAATTAAGAAAGTTATACATTTTTTAAGGTGCAGTCAATCAAGCTTAAATTGGAAAAGTTCTCTCCTCCCGTTGGCCCTGTACTAAAAAACTTCCAAAATCTATATTTTTCCTTAAAATTTTCAATCATACAACCTGAACATAATTATTGCAAATACATTTGTATACAACCCTATATGACACAAATCTATTCCGCCATCAATAACTAAGAAAATGAAAGTTTATGAAACTTTCTGTACAGAGCAAATTTGAGAAGAGCTTGCAAGATACGTCAAAATTTTGCCAATTTGTATTTAACTGATGGCAATTTTTGTGTTAATTCATAAAATTTCACATGTTTAATCAGATATTCCTCAAGCTTTCACTTATTTTTTTTCCTTATTTTTTCTGCTTTCATCAAAACCAACTTAATATTAGGGTGGACTTCCCCTTTAACTAGAACTGGTAATCAATGTTTCTGGATACAAAGCCCAATGTTTGGCTAATGGACACGGTAAAGTTCAACTCACTCTCACTTGAATACATTAAAATAAGCAATTCTTTGCTACGAGCTAAGTTACAGACAACCTTTATTATCATTTCACTCTTGATACTATTCTTCCTTTTGCCTCTTCCAGATAAGCTGATAACAAATATGTTAGTTATAATATTATTTCCTTTTATCAATTAACATCCGCAGAAAAGTCTCAAGTTGCAACCAGATTTACTGTCAGCTGGGGTATCACATTAGCTTTGAACACCATCTATGTGAGTATTAATATAGAAATGTTGACTGCCTTGAGGGGCACAGTAAAAACTATGGCCCCAAAACGACAGTCGAGAGGCACAGCACAGTTGCGAGATCCCTGAGGGCCGTGTTTTACCGTGACACAAAAAAGAAGCATTCGTTTTATATATACCGCATCCTTCGTTAGCTCAGAAATCTATTTCAAAGACAGATGAAATACGGTACCGTAACGTAATTAATCAATCTTTCAAAATTTTGTTTGGTGAACATGTATGATAAGGTGCCAGCTGCACACCCGCGTATCTAAATTGCCAAAGCTACTACAAAGACATAACTAAGCTCGGTCAATATTTTTCACCATACCACCCGGCAGTCTGTAGTAAATTTCATGCCCGCAAATTTGACCAATCAGAGGCCTAGAATCTAGACATGCGGTATATAATATAAAATAGTACTGAAAGATACAATTTAGATCGTCTTAGTGGAAAGCTACAAGTGTCTTGCCAAGGAATAACATTATGCTTAAACTTTTAAGATAGACATCAGTTGTATGGAGCCAGAAGGGCATATAAATAAACACAGGATTGGCATGTACTTTAAATTCAGGTAATGTGAGAAATCAATCAACCAAGTCACTATCAACATTTCCCCCTTCCCTTTGACAGAGCATTTTTATGATTGGCCTGATCTGGAGCTACCGCTATGAGCCCGTCATTCTCCTGGAGGAGGAGTGGGCCTGGCCTTTCGGGCGGATCCTGGCCTTCCCCTGCGGCATTCCTGGGGCTGTAGGCATAACCGCCTGGTTAGCTGTGTGCTCGGCGATGGTTGCACGGCTACAGGGATCCGTCCAGTACTTTTTTCTTGGAGAAAGGACCAGTTCAAAGACGTCTTGAAGGTACAGAGATATCACTGACTGAATGACGAAGATGTGTTTAGGACTTTAGGTACTGTCTGTGTGTAGAGGTCAATGGTAGACCTTGATCTCAAGACTTTGATGCATGTTTGATGTCTATGTCCCAACCCAAAGGCTGAATGTGAAATAAATGTGTCTCCTGGGGGGCGTTTCACAAAACTTGTCATCATTGACAAATGACAGTTTTTGTTATAAGCTACTGAAATCCTTGCTTCTGATTGGTTATCAGCAGATTTGTCACTGATTTTTGTCATTTGCCATTGAAAAAAGGCTTTGTGTAACTAGTCCCTGGTCTTGTCCTCAAGATCTCAAGTCTTTACTACAGCACTAGAAGTCGTAACCCATAGTTCTTTTTGAGGCATGAGAACGAGGCGTCAAGAGTTGAGTCTAAGAAGGTTTAACATCGTTACTTCAATCACAATAAACGTGATGTAGCAAGATCAGTGTAGGTCTCAAGTTTATCATGTTTCAGTCATGGTCCGATCCACGACCTAATGCATCATGAATGAAAATTAAAACTTTTCCTCCTGGTCGTGGCCTGGAGACCGCGTGTCTATACTACAGCACTAGCGCAGGTAGCGTCTAGATCGCAGTGAGGCTGTAGCACAAGGTCATGATCTGAAGTAGTCCGTGTATAGATACTAGATAGAATCTATATATGTCATTAGATGAACTTTGTTGAAGGTTAGTGTCTGCATGCTGGTGTGTATAAATGTGTAGGTTTGCGGTTTCACCATACGGGTAGCCCTGAAAGGGACTGTTTGGTTTGAAAGGGGAAAGAAAAGCGGGTGAGAGAGAGAGTAAGGGAGAGGCTTTCGGTTCTGCCATTTGGAGGATTACTTGGTATGGTATGGATAGAGGTATTTAGTTCAGTATTTATTAAATTCCATGGTAAAAAACAGTAACATCAAAATATTACTTTTACATAATTATTATTAACATAGTACAATATTGACAGTAAAAAGCAAAGGAATTAGGTTGCTGTATAAACACCCTAGAGGGTTTGTCTGGACAGCCACCAGAAACAGTAAAACTAGTAACGGAATCATACAAAATGATATATGGTATTTGAATACACAATAACAAAAAACAACAACAAAACAAAACAAAACAATGTAGAACATAAGCAAAAGCAAAAACAAAAACATACATGAAGACCGCACAACCCTAGGTAGTGAACAAATAAAGATCTTTTGTTGTTTCTGGAATGGAGTCCTGAAAGGGACTTGTGAACTACTGTAGGTTATGATTGCAGAGAGAGAGATGGAGGCTCAAAAATTCCTAATATGCAGTTTGAGATAAATTGGAAGCAAGCTTCAAAGACATCACAGACTTTGTGATTCAACTACATGTACAACTGATTTGGGGTAGAAATTGCTTCCAGTTTTATGTTTTACAAAGAAAATATTCTTGATGCAATTTGAAATCGTCATATGAATATTTTCTGTAATGATAATGTGGCATGTTTTCAAGTTAGGTGAAGGTCTGGACTTAAAAAATTATGAACCGTTCTTTAAACATACCCCAACTCAGGGTCCAATTAGGACATTTCTCTAAATTAATACAATGCCCTAGAACTTTTATTTCATTATTCTTATGGCTATGCAGAAACTCCGCAGAAGTTGTGTGTGCTAACCTCCACACTAACCTTTTTAGAAAGGGATCCGGATCTTACCTTGTACAGTCTGTGTGAATGAGCCCTATGCAAAGATTCCAAAATTGTTGGGGTCTGAACTTCATTTTTGGGGTGCCCTTGTGTCTCGGGCACCTGTTAGGCTGTTAGTGTTGGGTCATGCAACATGTGAAACAGGTATTCTATTATTTAATCTAGCCTATACCTGTACATGTGACCTTCTCATTCGTTTGTAACATTATCTTTACATGTGCCATGATTTGAATGTGCAATATATATGTCCATTGTGAAAATGTAACAGTAATTGTAAATTAGGAGAAGATTTAGTTGCCAAATATCAATGACAGTAAATTGTTGACATATTTATGTGCATTTTTTCAAAACACCTTAGTCTTGATTTGTCAACTGCATGACATATTGACACCATTTCAGGGCATTATGCTGTTTGTATTACACGAAGGATTGTCTGTCGTTTTTGTTTTAATCCAATTGAAGATCATCTCATCATTCAGTTCACAGTTTTGTAAATAATGTCCTCTCTGATGTGTTTCGTATACGAGTACTTCGTTATTTCCCATTTAGATGCTAGGAGCTTCAAAAGTAATGTAAGATCCACTATGGTATTTATTCATTAACATTTCTTATGTTCGCATCTATGAAAGACACTTACAATTACAAAAAAAGTGCAAACTAGAAATTAATTCAAGGATTTAGTACCAGAGACAACTATTAGTCTACCCTCAGGCATCTAGCCCCTGAAAACTAACATCCTATGCCTGTTACCCCCGTGTGGACTACTATCCCTTTTTTGGGGGGGGGGGGTCCTCCCTCCCCCCCCCCCCCCCCCCCTCCCCCACCTAGTTGTATGGGGATAATTCAAATAATCTAAAGGGGTATTTTTTTAGGGGAAGGAGGAACTAAAAGAACTATGCAGATAATTCATATTATATAAAGCTGTGCTCTAAATTGAATTATTGAAATGTTTCTTGAGTAACCTTTGGCATTTGTTGCTATACCTTGAAATGAACTGTGTTGTCTCGTCTTGTGTTCTAGACATCCATTCCTCAAATATTGTCTGAATATTTTGTATTATCCGATATTTATCAATGAATAAAGAGAAAATGCATATTTTATCATCTCCCCTATGATGTATGTGATCTCAAACGACAACGATGCTGTTTATGAAATCTATTTTCACTGCTACATGTTCAACCTAAGATGATTGATGGTGATGTTGGTGGTGGTGATGATGTTTTCGATGAATATGTTGATTATACTGTTGGTGATGCTGGTGATTACTGATTTTATATTTATGATTGTAATAATGACGCAAGAGTGTTTTAGGGTGGCAGAAAACAGTAAAATGTTGCAACAAATCTTCAATCAGGATATATGGAATAACAGATGGTGATGGTATGATGATAAAGACAATCATGATGACGACGACGATAATGATCATGATGATCATGATGGTGATGAATATGATTATGTTGATATGATTATGTTGAGATGATGTTAATGGTTAGATGATGGTGACAATAATTAGATTGGTATTTATTCCATTCTTCCTTTTTTAATGTGATAATGATGATGATAACGATGATAATGAGGGTGATGATTGTGACCATGATGATGGTGATGATGATAACAATAATAATTATTGACATGTGAGGAGAAGGAGAGGAGAAAGAGGAGGATGTGGATGACATGCCACCGATGGTACTCGCTGGAACGCTATTGTAATTTAGGAAATCTGTTTATTTATTTAAATTAACAGATGTAACAGTGATTTTTAAAAATAAACAACAATACTGATCCGAAAATACTCCTATCAATTCATACCAGGACTGATCCATACACATTTGTCACATTTGCATTTGTTTTGCATCATACCATCGGCAGTGAACACTAGCGCGATCGTGTGAAAACTTGATGTAGAGCATTTCTGCGATGTGTTCAAACTCCCTCTACGCTCGAGCTAGCTAGTGAAAAAATTTGGATTTCATCTCGAAATCATTAGAAAGTTAAAATAGCTCTCTCTCTCTCTCTCTCTCTCTCTCTCTCTCTCTCTCTCTCTCTCTCTCTCTCTCTCTCTCTCTCCCTCCCTCCCTCCCTCCCTCCCTCCCTCTCTCCCTCCCTCCCTCCCTCCCTCCCTCCCTCAATTTCCTCCTCTGTTTTCTTCTTCTTATCGTTCATCAAAATTGTTGCTGTTGAACGGCGCCCATCTCCCTATACTTAAGAATGATCATCTAAATGGCTATTGTATAGTCAGATTATTGATGTATTACGACCAGTTTTAACCCATGGCATGTTGTCAGAGTCATTTACATATAGGTGAGATCTTTGATTCAGAACGTTACTTGTGGCTACAACTCGCGAGACCGATGAAACGCGAGACCAACAATGCCCGTCTCGCGGGACCTAATTAGAAAAGCGATCATACAGTTCGTGAGACGGACATACGGCCTATGAGACCGACGTGTTGGTATCGCGCACCTTCTGAAAACTCTATGATGCTGACATTGTCGGCCTCGAGAGCTGTCGATATCGGTCTCCTACGCTCACTGTAACATATCGTTGGGTGTCTCTCTATTTACATATCAGTATGTTGTCGCTTTTCTACTAAAAATTTTAAAATTAAAAAATGTAGGCCTATCAAAATGGGGTTTGTGCCTGTCTGCGCTAGTTTGGCCAGGAGGGATTAGACCTCCCTGCGTGGGCACCACCCCAACGAACGTAATTCAGAAACAGCTCTGTCAGTTTACTGTGCAGCACACTTGATACGTGGATAGAAATATGTATATGGGACTACATGAACATGTGACATAAAAATCCGTCCCGATTTTTATGATGTTACATGCCATATTTAGAATATGAAGGCAATTTGAAGAGCCATGATTTTCAAGGAACATTTGTTATCTGATGTTCTTCCACACTTGCATATAATACAATGATAACGCTCACAAATAATGTGTCACCTCTTCCCAGAACTCAACTTTCTCTTTAATGTGACATATCAAACATCAATAATCTCATGTGAATTGGAGTCAAATTTGTTTCCCGGTCTACCTGTATTCCACGAAAACCAAACGCACAATATTTTATTCGAACTTCATCTCCCTGTCTCCTTGCCGGCTGGGGAATAGAGAGTGATCCGTCTTTCTTCTTTTTATTCGTCCATATCGCGTCGTTGAAGAAGAAAATATAGATTAAACATGAGGTTTAAGCTTACTATGCGGATGATGATTGAACTGATAACGATAAAGATGATGAAGATGATGATGATGATGGTAATGGTAAAAGTTTGATAATTTGATAATATTGCTTGTTGGGATGATGGTAAGATGGTAACGCATCTTGGTACGACCAGATGCTTGTGATAATGATACGATGATAATGATAGCGATGGTGATTATGAAAATGATGATGATTGTGATTTTCATGATGGTGATGGTGAAGGTGATGAGGGTGATTATGATTATGATGATGATGATGACGGTCATAGTGACGATGATGATGATAATGATGATGATTTGGGTAAAGAAAATGATGGTGGTGATGATGGTAATAGTGATGAGGGTGATTATGATGATGATGATGACGGTCATAGTGACGATGATGATGATGATGATGATGATGGTTTGGGTAAAGAAAATGATGGTGGTGATGATGATGATAATGATGATGATGATGATGGGCATGATGATGGTCATGATGATGATGATGATGATGATTTTGGTAAAGAAAATGGTGATGATGATGATGATAATGATGATGATGATGATGATGGTCATGATGATGAGGGTCATGATGATGATGATGATGATGAGGGTCATGATGATGATTTTGATGATGATGATGACGGTCATGGTGACGATGATGATGATGATGATAATTTTGGTAAAGAAAATGATGGTGATGATGATGATTATGATGATGATGATGAGGGTCATGATGATGATTATGATGATGATGATGACGGTCATGGTGACGATGATGATGATGATTTTGGTAAAGAAAATGATGATGGTGATGATGATGATGATGATGGTCATGATGATGATGATGGTCATGATGATGATGATGGTCATGATGATGATTAGGGTCATGATGATGATGATAATGATGATGATGACGGTCATGGTGACGATGATGATGATGATAATGATGATGATTTGGGTAAAGAAAATGATGATGGTGATGATGATGATAATGATGATGATGATGGTCATGATGATGGTCATGATGATGATGATCTTAATGATGGTCATGATGACGATGATAATGATGATGGTCATGATGATGCATAAAATAGGGTTTCGAAATTGCCTTGAGTTGATTTTTCAAAAGTAGTTGCAATCGAGTTGATTATGATCATAATGGTGGTGATAGTGATGGTGATAATGATGATGACGGTGCTGATGGTAATAATGATGATTACGATGATTATTATGATGATTTTAAGGATGATGATACGGACGATGATGATCCAGATGGTGATGTTTATGATTGAAAAAAGCAATACTAATACTTTTGTTCACGCCTTCTTTTTATCTTTACATGTATAGCATATAGCATAAAGCATCTTATAAGTGAATGGGTTTTTTTTTTTACCAACAAGACTAGATAATGCAACTTGTCAATCTACCATCTCCGGTGCATTGTAATCAAATTTCCTTCCTGGCATATCTTGTTCCGCGAAACACACAAGTGAACCTGATCACCTAGGTGATTAGCAAGAGTAACAAACTCGCAATCGTTTTCCTCGCATATTTCTCTTCACTCGAACGGCCTGGCCATATCCGCTTTTTGTAAATACCTAATCAGAGGTTTAATCGGAGCTGATTTATTCATATTGATTCCGTTTTTTTCTTTTTCAAATGCCCCATTTATCATTGATTAACTATGGATCGGTGCAATAGAATATCGGACTCATTCTGTCGTGCTGTCAAATTAAAGGGTATTTCTATTCACTTTTATTCACTTTTTATTGAACACTGTTATCTAAATTACGGCCTGATGTAGGAAAAATATCACTATTTTGGGGAATTCAAAACCGCGATTATACCTTTATGACATTTGAATAAATTAAAAATAATTACACAGCAAAGTATTTTTTTTGTAAATAATTTAAGCATATAATTTTGATTCCTTCCGATAAAATCGTTATTATTTGTCCTCACAAGTTTGAGCAGAAGTTAACGACATAGCAATGACCTCAGCTACCCAGGATGGACATACGAGACGCATCGGGGTTCGAGAATGATATTTATTGGGTATAACAACATATTAAGAGACTTATAAAACTAATAAAAGAATATGATTACTCGTTGAACAGTTGAATCATGGGTTCATATTCATTTTATGCAGATTAAGATTTATTTCAATATTAGAAAATCAATTGAGAATAAACATGAAGGTATTGTAAAATTACTGTTATCTTCTGGCAGTACTATATATTGTCTATATATTATTGAATTGTTTAAATAGGTATTTGCTAGCTCACCGGTCAGACTGTATATCATTTACCGATGAAAAGACGAAAGATATGCGTTACCAGAACATACAGCATAGCTTGAAGGTATGAGGAAAATACATGTACTACCAATTAGAAAAGGATTAATGGGGCATTCACACGCAGAGTAATTACTGAGATTTAAATCTCGAATTTTTAATTGAGATCAAAATCTCACTAATTGGGAGCAGGCGAATGTGCATGTACAACGTGAACACAGTCATGTACTGCCAAATCGAAAAATGGTTAAATGGGCATTCACTAGCAGATTAGTTAGTAAGATTTTTAAATCGCTTTGTTTTAATCGAGATCGAAAGTTTACTTGTTGAGAGCGGATAAATGTACATGTGCAAAGTGAGTACTTGTACTGCCAAATTGAAAATGATTAAAGGGACATTCACAATTGGAGTAAAATTAGTGAGATTTTCATTTTTTTCGAAATCGAGTTCAAAAACTCACTAAATAGTGATAATCTGATCGCGATCAGAATATCACCTTGTATAAGGAGCGTGTGAATGTCCTTGTGTCACGGGAGCAACAAATAACTGCGATGAAAATGGTAACGTTGACAACGTGTACGACGATAGAGAAGTTGTTGTTGAGAAGAAGGATAAGGCTGATGATGATGATGATGATGATGCGATGATGATGA